TTTAGTTATATATTATAAGATAATTTTTTAACGATATTTATAAATGTAAATTATTATAACAAATATTTTAACAATAATTTCTTTTTTTTTAAATAAGCTAATGAAGGCATAAACCTTAAACCCTAAAAAATTAGATACTACAATATCTTATGTTAATTTTTTTTAAATATAAAAAATCCTAATTTCACAATATAAAAATAATAAAAAAATCATAGTAAAAATAAAATAAAATAACATAAGAGTAACAAGGAAGGAGAGAGATCACATTTTTTATCCTGAGAGGGTTCTTCCCCAACTAAGATCCATTTTCATCTCATTCTACTCACAAAAAAAATCCTATCTCAAATTCATCTTATATATATATATATATATTGTAGAGATTATGATATCAATTTCATCTTTCACCTTTTCATTTTCTTGACGTGTGTTATAAAAAAATTATCACTTAAAAGTCGAAATTTCTAGTATTTTTTTGTGTTATATAAAAGAACAAATTCAACTAAAATAGAACAAGTCAATTAAAGAGAACGAACAAGAAAATATATCAATTCAATGACACTATCATTTACATATCGGAGTTTCACAAAATAGGGGAATGGATTGAGAACAGTACTACAATATTATATATGAACAATGAACAATAGTGCAATATTATTAGTAGAGAAAAAATGGAGAAGAGAGAAGCATAGAAAAAAAAAGAGATGAAAAACTCACTTGAAAATTCTTGAAGCACTTGAAAAATCACTTCAAACAATCCTTCAAAATCTGATGGGTTTGGATGAGATTGTTTTATGAATTTTGTATTTATAGATAACACTAAAAAGTCCTTCAAAATCCCTCTTACACAACAATCCTTTAAAATCCTTATATTTTTGAATAGCAATGGATTATTTTTAAGTTGTAAAAAATCTCAAATGAATACCAATGGATTTTAATGGACTCTTAAAAAAATCCTTAAAATCCAGATTGAATATCACTGGGTTGTTTTTAAGTGACATAAAATTCTGATTGAATACCAATAGAATTTTTCTCAAAAAAAGTCTTTTAAAATCCTACGAAATCCTAAACCAATACACCCCCCTTAGAGTAATTTTTTTAGGTTCGTTCCTGGAGTATCCACCGCCGACAGCAGTGACTAATCTCCTCGCTACATTTGAGGCACCTCAAAGGGTGTGATAGCTGGCCCTTAGAGTAATTTGAGCCTTCACAATATTTATAAGTTAAATTATACTTTTAATCCAATATTCGATAAATAATGATACCTTCACCAATTGTTAATGTTTGTATATTGACCATTAAAGTTCTAATGTTAACTATAATTTGACATTAATTAGATGATATGACAATTTAAATCTTTTTTATGCACATAACAAATATTAAATAATATTTAAGATAAATTTAATCTTTAGTTTGATTTTTATTTTATAAAAGTGATAGAATGAAATA